AGTGCTTGATTATAATGTATGAGCAGATAAAATGTATTTGCCAACAGAAGAAAATGAATTGGGCCCAGCGTACTGTGTGTTTTTGGCTTCACTCTTTTTTGTAAATGTTTTATCCTGATGAGTTGTGATACAGTTCTGGTCTGATGCCAAGATGGCCAACATAATCCATTATTCACTGAGCTGGAACATTGCTCTAAGTGTGCTTAGTACATCCCTTAAAGCATGATAGTATGTCAAAGGTTGGGGTTATTCTGTATTTCTCTTATTGTCAACAAATCCCACAAAAAGACCAATCAATAATTTGTCTCTCAATACTTTTTGACATATACGGGCAAATCTTTAACACCGAATCCTTAAGCTGAACTTAGTATTCTGATTCATCGACAGCGACTCGTTTATCGATATATATATATTTATCGGTACAAAGAGTGATCTACTATAATTATTTGTACATCAATGAATACATTGCAAACAGCAACTACTATTATTACTATAATAGCTAATTTGATATACTTTTACACTAAGCTCCATCTCCTGACTGTAGGTTTGTTTTCCTATTCCTTTATTTTTTTTTTTAAATGCATCTGTAAATTCCTTAAACAGCTGGTACTGTAGTTTTTATCAAATGTAATTTGAACAGGCAGAAAAACTTTGTTTGTTGGGGACTATTTTCAACCACGGACTGATATACATGCAGTGCTCTAGTGAGTATTTACAGCAGTTAGACTTTGACTATACAGACAATACTCGTAAATTCATTGTTGATTTTGGTGGTTTCATGTTGACAATAAGAAAAAGAAAGTGATCTTGCAGCTCTAGATCATCTACCAAATGGATGTCAGTGTCAGATTCCAAGCTCAAAAATTAACCCCTAAACTTAAAAATAAAAATATAAAACATCAATTAAGTATTTTCATGATGTTGAAGTGCTCTCTTATAGGTCAAAACACATGTTAGCATCATACGAAAATACATGATAGAGAACTGTAGCATTGTGGCTAACGCTGTTATAGAGGAAGTGAGTGAGTCCATTTCATGGATTTATTTGCTCGAACAGGAGTTGCAACATACTTTGTGACAGTATTGTGAGAAGTTTGGATAATGACAGGAAGATATTTGAAGGGGAATTTGGAGCAGTCTGCCTGGATTATCCTAATGCAGAAAAGCCTCACCTTTTGGCTCCCAAGCAGGTGAAAACAAATATTTACCTATGATATATATCATTTGAGTTTTGTTCAAAGTATATTTCCCTTTAAGTGAAGTTGGATGTTTTCACTGGAATTGGAGACACACTATTTATGATCTCTGTCACAACAATGAGCTGCTTTGGCTCGTCATTACTTCCCATTGGTATAACAGAACCTCCTGCTTGGTTTATGTCCTCTCTTCTGATGATTGAAGGGAAGGGAAGGGAAAGGAAAGGAAAGGAAAGACAGTACATAAAAGATTCCTTAATTCCTGTTGGAAATAATGAAGTGCTTCCCGGCTGCGGTTGTCATCTTATAAATAAAACACTCTGTATTGTCTATAATGACTATTTTGTGTTCTGCTATGTACTAACACCATCACTCATGTAGGAAATGATTTTCACATTCTCAGGAGACTGCTTACAACCTGTGTGGTTTTTTTGCTTTGTGATTTAAACCTGCGTGATGTTACCTACACCATTACTCAACTGCAGTGTACCAGAACTCAATCCATAATACATTCTACTGTATACAGAACTTCATTTGCACAGTCTTCCAGTCACATCTATGTAGCTCTGGGCATGAATATTTAGTTCTACAATAGACTTCAGCAACATACAGGCGTGGAAGCATGTTAAAGGGTTTCTCTGCAGGTCTGGGAATTCTAAGATAAAGTCCGGTTAGTTCTGAGTATTGGAGGTTGTTCCAAGGTTTGCTTATTGACGTACAATATGAGTTTTAATGAGTGGATTATACTGATTTCTCTCTAATGATATTTTCATTAACTAGAGGAACCTGAAATATTCTTGAAGAGTTAATTGTATAGAAATAAAAGAACTGCAAATTGTATAGTGAATTGGGAGATACATCTACAAATGTACATGATAAGCCTTTGGGTGTACTTGTATGTGTTATAGGTAACGATATGTAGTATGTATATATATATATACATAAAAATATACATACATACACATGTATATGTATACATGTATGTATGTATATGCAGTATATACATATTATACAGTGTGTGTACATTTGTGCATATAGCACAATTATTGAGGCTGCAGTAGGTAATTTTTATACGAATATTTTTTGTCATATTTGCTGCAACTTTCACTATATCCTGACAGTGGTACTGATCTCTGAAACAATCAGGTTCCTCTGGCTCCTGATTTTTCATAGATTATCACTCTTGTGTAGGGTGTACTTTCAGGGCGCAGTGAAAATTTCAGCAAATTTAAGAAAAAGTTATTTTAAAAAAAATGTAACCTACTGCAGCTGTAACACAGAAATTGATTTCATTATAGGAACATCCAGCAAAATAGAACCACATAGTTCAAACCAAGACAAGAGTTAACTCCCTTTGTTGGCACTCCTTTAACCCAAAACCCTTTTGTGCTAATTCTCTCTTCTGTTGTTACCATTATCTCTACATTAACCTCCCTTACCTGCTGAACTGAAGTCCTGGAGATGGAGTAGTGATCGCAGCAAACCGTAATTAGTACAACATAGCAACATAGAAAGACCTGTTAACAGAACTAACCTGTCTAAAATGTGAATAGATATTTATGAGATGATGTGTACTACAGTATATTTGACGTCTGCTCACAGTATCATTATACACTCAATTTTGGATCAATGCCGTTATTTGTGCACAACTGTGGAAAGTTTGCCCACAAATTTGTTGGATGTAAAACGTTTTTCAGTGCTCCAGCTAATTCAGTCTTTTCTTGCATAAATTCCAAAGACCATTCACATTGGAATATGTGGTCAATGTGCATTTTGTATTTGAATACTATAAAAGAACCAAATAAATCCTGTACTTGATGTACCTAATGAACCAAATTATAAACGTGAAGGGCAGCTTTCTACACTGTTCAGCACACCATTTACTTTAATTATGACAGGTTCTTGGATGCTCGACGAATTCTGTTTATTTTTGTTTTGTTCCAGTTGCCTGATCTTGCATGTTAACGAAAGTGAAAGATTATCTGTGTATCCACCCCATGGATGTGATATGTTCTAGCTGACAGTTATCAGCAGGCTGCTGACTTTAGAAAGTTACCGACTGTGTCCTCATGGCTACCAACTCTGATCTTTATTGCAGGAGGTGATGTCAGTGGAAGAGGAGTCCACTTCCTGTTACTGCCTGATGGACTCGACGAGCTGCCACCTGCTGCTGGACCAGCCGGGCTCGTACGCCCTGGTGGGCGAGCCCCTGACGCAGGCTGCCGTCAAGAGGCTGAAGCTGGCTGTGTTTGGGAGCATGGAGGTCGGCTCCATGAGCTACAGCCTGCGGGTGTACTGTGTGGACGACACGCCACACGCCTTTCAGGTAGGGGGACGACTCTGGTTAGGTTTTTGGCTCATTGTTCTTTATTGTTGATCCAACAAAGGTCATTATCATGTCCAGCAAGAGGATGTGGCATGGGGAGTAACAGATTATGTGTTTCTGAGTTAAGTAATCAGGATAACTGGAATCCATTACACTTACAGAAAAATAGACATAATCAGATTCCATTCAGTTAGTAAAAATGTGGATTATTTTGCAGGATTACAATTTTACATCATACATCAGTTTTTCCTTAAAAATACACTGAGCAGAGAACACATTGTTGATGCTAAAAATCTTGGTTTCCATTTTCTTTCCTAATATTGCATTGTTCTGTTGTCACATACACGTACATCAATACTTGCATATTTGGTTTTAAGGTAATCGAAAAGTAACTGAAACTAATCAAGTTACGTTATTTTTATATTGTGATACTTGAATTTAAGTCACTGACTAAATTTTTTAACAGGTAGTTAGTAAGGAATCTACACAAGGAATTTTTAATTATAAAATATCTAAATACTGATGCCTCTATATGACCTGCATAAACAAGATCAGATCAGCAAGAAGGCCGACTCTTTCTGTATGGTCATTCTTAATGCCGGATTTGGTCGGAATCCCCTTGATATAAATAAAACGAGATGGTCCAGGAGTCGCAGAATCAACAAAAAAATGTAATCATCACAGATCAGTTATATTAGTAAAAATTTAAAGTAAATACAAATTAATATCTTGCATTCAAACACGCGTATTGGCGACTTGTTTACTGCTAGTACTTTCCTGCATTCTTGTATAAACTAATTATTCATAGGGAAAAAGCTTATTTAAAGATGGACTGGTGTATTTAAAAATGTAACGTGTGCCTATGTACATTCCCCAATGCTTCTACTTCACATGTTCAAGAATGCAATAACGGTTATACTATTTACCTAAAAGGAGACTGAGTATTGGACTGACATTAGGTTGCCAGAAACACAACTCCAAATGAATGTTCCAGTGTCCTTGTTAGTCTGCATAATCCACAGAACACACTGTCCATTTCTTAGTCCTAGGAAAACTGTTAATGAGGTTTGGGGATTAACCAGAGTAAATGGGACGTTATTTCTTGGAAGACACTTTGCTTTTGAATGTCATTTTTCAAAGCTGTGAGCTCCACAAATTGAAAGTTAAGTAGGAAACATTTAGGAGGGAGAGAAACGGAATATAATATTCATAGGTTTTCATTTGTGTATAATCACCTGAAATTAAGAGTCTTTGTGTTTTTGTTGCCTTAGCATGAGCTATTGTTATCTACAGAGGAAGCGGATCCTTTTTTACGAAGTCTACCATGTTCAACTGCCATGTTTCTACAGTGGCCCAGAACTGACAGACCAAACACTGGCTGTAGATAGGACCTTTCACACGTTTCATAGCCACCATAGTTTGTCTTACATGCTTGGAAGGCTGAGCTGTATTCAAATGATTGCAATCTGCAATTTTGCCACTAGATGCCACTAAATCCTACACAGAGGTCTTTAAGGGGTTACAAAAACACATCACGTACATCTTATGATATCTAGCCATGCAGATAGTTTTAATTTTCTCATATTTCTTATTCTTATTTCTTACTCACTGCTTGCATTACAAGTGTGTATGAGAAACTATGGGGGCCACAAAAAACACAAAAGGCCTTATCCAGCACTAGTGTGTGGTTGGTTTGTCCATTCTGGGCTACTGTAGAAGAGAACACACTCCCTCTGTAGATAAATATGACTCATTCAAAGGAACCGAATAAACAATCATTTATTTCTTAGGTGATTATACAGTAATGAAAACATAGTTATAAATAGATCCTCCTAAATGTTACACACTGGACCTTTAAATGAACAGGTCATCAAAGTAAGACTGCTACAATTGGGGTGATTTTATCTTCAATTAAACTGCTGTTGGTTAATGAGTGGCTTTAATGCTACAACACTATTGTATGATTTTGTTTTGTTTTGAGAGAGCGAGATACAATAGGAGCATTTCTTACTCATTTCCCCAACAGTCCAGAATTTAAACAGGCATATTCAGCAAGCTTTCTGCAACTGTGAATCACAACTTTGGCTGTCCCTGTCCTCTTTCACAAAAATGTGAGGATGCACATTTTCACTTTAGCAATTCTTACTCTATTAGGAAGTACATATTGTAGGTCATGGCCTAGATTCAAACTGAACATCTTGTGTATCTGTGGTTTTTGCCTGGGCTGTCTGAGGCAGCAGGGACCTCAGCATGTGCTGTCTACCAGTGAAACCATGTGAGTGATTGCAGATTCATTACCACTTTGAAACAATACTGCAGAGCCGATAGTGGGGACTCTGTAACCGCCTGACAGGTTCTGTTCCAGAGGTTTTAATGGACTGAGACAAAGGCTGCCGTACTGTAATCACTGCCATTCACATGTTAACCAATCATTCTTTTTTTATCTTGTTTGATTTGATTATCCTTCAGCGACCTATAGGGTTTTTAAGCATTGAGATCTCATCAGCGAACATCAGGGAAATCAAGCTTCTCATCCTCCCCGGAGAGACTAGAAAAAGAACAGAAGAGCTGAACAGAGCACCGCGAACCTCGTGACTGACTCTGTCTCCTGACTGCCTTTCTGTCATGTTGCAGCCGTCAGCGGCAGCTGGCTTTAAAATGCATTCTGGATTTGGTTTATGAATTCCCAGCCTGCCGAGCAGATGCCAGACTTTTGCGTGTCCCTTGGGCTCCTGTCTGTTAGCACCACGTCTCTGCTGTGTGTTTTCCAAGCTCCGGCACAATCACATACTGGATTCTGGATCAACAGGAAGCCTGATGCAACACAAACACAGTTTCTTCAGCTGAGGCTGAGAGAGGGTTATGATTGGCATTTTTCTGATATTTTCTGTGATATTGCACAATGCTGCTGTCTCATTTGAAAGAGTACCTCTTCAGCAAGTCAAACTTTCTGAGCACAAACTGATGCACTTAAAGATCCCATCGTCACTTCATCTCATTCTTAAATTTGCAGCAGACGTGTGGACTCAAATTTTATGACTTTAGACTTGACAAAATCAAAAAAGACTTGCAACTTGACTTGGAC